CGACACCCACGTGCATGTGCGCACACACACACAGACGTAAAAAGATTGTTTTTTTTTTAAAAATATGATAATTGCCTGATGTTAGCACATCTCAATTTGGCCTTGTCACATTTGTGTGTGTATGTGAGACGCTGGGCTTGAACTCAAGAGCCTCTTACTTGCACTCTACCACTTGAGCTGTGTCACAAATCCATGGACTAATCCATGACATTTCAAATCCTCAGTAACTATACGTGGCTATCAGGGTGGCAAAGATGGATACTATAGCCCCATTTAAGGGTTGTATTGGAACAAAGAGCCAAGCAGGGGATGGGTTAAATGCTATAGTGTTTTTTTTTTTTTAACAAAGTTCCCCATTTTCTAGCCTTGGATTTGGTATCCAGCAGAGTCCTATCTCAAGAACATTTTACTATCAAGTGAGGGATACAAATAAATGGACAAATCCAAAGCTAAATAAGTGTTCTGAAAGAAAGGAACACATGGTTCTTGTGGCAACTTGAGGTGGAGGTGGCACCTTTTCTGGGAAGATAGTGATTGGACTCCTTCCCTTGGGATGAAAAGGAGTCAGTGTGGGTGGGGAAAGCTAGGAAAGTTACACCAAGGAGGTCTGTGGTGATGGGGAGATAATGTGTAACTTTTGGAAGATGTCAAAAGGATCATTGTTCTAAGGCCATTGTGGGGTGGAGAACTGGGAGAGAGAATGAAGCTGGGTGGTAGGGAGACTTTCTACTCCAAAATGATAATATATGAAAGGCATTCCAAGCCGTGTGTGTATGTATGCTGGTCATGGGGCTTGGCCTGGGCGCTGTCCTTGAGAGGCCAGCTAGGATTGGAGGGTTGAAATTTGCAGCTTGATTTGACAGAGAAGTCTGAAAGAGTCTTTATCTCTGATTAAGCAGCAAAAATCCAGAAGGGTGTGTGTGTGGCTCAAGTGGTAGAGAGCCAGCTTTGAGCAAAAAAAAGAAAAGCCAAGCAAAAGAGCATTTGAGGCCCTGAGTCCAAGTCCCAGTACTTGCATGTGCAGTTTTTGTCTATAAAATAAGACCAAGAATAGGGCAATGGCATTTCTCATGGAAAAGAAGGTGGATTCGGGCATAGGAGAGTGCTTGGCTATAAGTAGGGAGGGAAAAAGAAGCAAGTTTCTGGTTTGAACGGTGGGATGAATTAAGTGCCTTTCAAGGAATAGAGGAACAGTAGAAGATAAGATGCAGGTTTAGAAGTTGGATATGGGGACCTAAGTTCTTTGTTAAATACCTGGGTATACAAGTACTCGGAGTTGGGGATAAATTTGGAGGATGTTAGATTTGAATAGTAGAGACAAGCAAGCAGGTGGGTGAACTCTTCCAGAGAAAGGGGAGGAGAGACTTTTTTTTTTTTGGGGGTCCGGTCGTGGGGCCTGAACTCTGGACTCTGGGCTTGGGCACTGTCCCTCAGCTCTTCAGCTCAAGGCTAGCACTCTACCACTTGAGCCACAGCGCCACTTCCGGCTTTTTTGTTTTTGCTTATGTGGTGCTGAGGAATAGAACTCAGGGCCTCTGGCATGCAAGGCAAGCGCTCTACCACTGAGCCACCTTCCCAGTCCAGGGAGGAGAGACTTTTAACTGAGAAAAGTAGACTGTGGGCCCAGAGAGCAGAGCTTGGCCAGAATCACATAATAGGTTTGTGTCAAAGCTATGAGAATTTTCTTATTGGAAGTATCATATCCCATTTTTTCTTACCAGTCCCATTGGCCTCTAGTCTCCAGAATGAGGTGAGCCAGTTATGAAGGCTCTCCATACTTCAAAACTCCAGGCATTGTGTTTGGTGAGTCCTCATAAGAGACTTTTAAGGTCACTATTAGCTCCACTTCACAGGTGAGGAAACTAGGCTCAGAGAGAAGTAGTGTGTTGAGTGTCACATAGAGGGGAAGTCAGATGAAACAAAAGCATTTTAGCCAATAAATATAACTGTTCACTGGCCTTTGCTCATTAATGAGGTGTAGACCTATCAAAAAGGTATTGGAAAATAGCAGGTAGGATGATGAAGTTGCCAGTCTTTGACCAAAGGGTCCTATCCTTTCCTACACAGCTGACTTGGAGTTGGATGAGGTGGAAGACTTTCTTGGGGAGCTGATGACCAATGAGTTTGATACAGTTGTGGAGGATGGGAGTCTGCCCCAGGTGAGTTAATTGTGGACACAGCAGCCATCTCCATTCCTGCAGTCTTTTCCTAACTGTTTGCTTTGCTTCCAGAACCTTGGCTTAAACCATTCTTTGCTTGGGTCATATACCAGGCCATTCTAAGATTCTGCCCCCCCCTTTTTTGCCAGTCCTGGGGCTTGAACTCAAGGCCTGAGCACTGTCCCTGAGCTTCTTTTGCTCAAGGCTAGCACTCTACCACTTGAACCACAGCACCACTTCCAGCCTTTTCTGCTTAGGTGGTACTGAGGAATTAAACCCAGGACTTCATGCATGCTAGACTCGTACCACTAAGCTACATCCTCAGCCCCTAAGCATTCCTTTTGCCTAAAGGAAAAAGTGTTTAGTCTTCCAGGCCTTTCCAAACCTTCCCTTTCTCCATATATCCCAGCCAGATCTGCTCCTCATCCTCATCCCAAGGGCAGGTTGATTCCCTTCCTCTTCCAGTTAGCATTACATGTCCGGTGAGATTGTCTTTCCTTCTGCATTTACTGTCTTTCAAAAAGCTCATGTTGCATACCTGTAATCCTAGCTACTCAGGACACTGAGATCTGAGGATTGAGGTTTGAAGCCAGCTAGGGCAGGAAAGACTGCAAGACTCATATCTCTCATTCACTACCCAAACATCTGGAAATGGAGCTGTGGCCTTGAGTACAAAAGCTCAGGGACAGACAGCACCTAGATCCTGAATTCAAGCCCCAGGACCAGCATACACAACAAAATCAAGCTTATGTCTTGTGTCTTTTCTGCTACAATAGCCTCCTTCACTGCTTCACCTGAGCCTTTCAGATGAGGCTGCCTCACTGGTGGACTTCTTAGAGGAGGACAGTTCCAACCCCCTCCCTCCCTCTGAGCTGGTTGTATAGTAAGATACTCTGGAAAATCCAAACTGGTTGAATGTTTTCTTGACAGGTGAGCCAGCAGCTGCAGACCATGTTTCAGCACTTCCAGAGAGGTGATGGAGCTGCCCTGAAGGAGATGACCTCTCACATCACCCAAAAGAAGCTTAAAGTCACAGCCACTGCACTTAAGACTGGCAAACAGGCTGAGGAGGCAGAAGCGGACACAGTGGAAGAAATGGAGGTGAAGAGGTACCCCTTGGGTGGTGAGGGTACAGATGCTTTCCATTTTGTGGGAGTGCATAGAAGTGATGTTTGTTGCTTATTGGTGGTGATGGTGATGATGGTGATGATATTCTCCAGAGAGAGGTCACACAGACATATCCTGGCAATGTTGGGTGAGCTTAGGTCTCCAATGATTAATGATGCATATAGCATTATCTCATATTTTTCCTCCAGGTCACAGCTGTGAATAATGGGGCTACTACTGAGAGGGTGTGTCCCCAGGCTGAGCCCTCTGAATCGAATTTCCAGACTATTAAGGAAGAGGATATAGTGGAAGATGGCTGGACCATTGTACGGAGAAAGAAATGAGTGGATCTGGAAATGGTTTTTGAGTCTTTGTTTCTTAAGTGTTTGGAGACTTCTGTAGGGTTGTTGTTGTTGTTTTGAGGTCTATAGACCTCTGGACTGTTTGTTCACCCTGTCCCCACCTTCTTCCCTGATCCTCTGTCCAGCTCCTTCCAGGGGAAAAAAGCCCTAGAGTCCTTGGTTGAGAGGGTGATGGGACCTACTTTACCATAACTCTTAAGCCTTAAGGTACCAAGTGAATGATTAGGCTGGCTTGTCCAGCACAGTGCCTCTTGGGTTTAACCAGTGTGAAGAGGGTGGGGGGGGGGATGAGTGTGGATGTGGTTGAAGAAGGGGTTAGACTCTGGTGGACAGTGAGCAGTTTAATTTGTGGAGAGGACCAGCATTCAGCTTTAGGGGGCTGGCTGCTCAGTAATGGTGAGATGAACATGGAGACCAAAGACAGAGAGAGAGAGAGACAGAGATATTGAGGATATATAGGAAAGTAGCTTGTTGGTGCCTCTCCCCTGTCCCTCTAACTCCTCACAGAGCAAGTCCTCTCCCCACCCAAACTTGAGACCTCCCAGAAATGTTCTGCTCTCTTCTTTCATTCATTCCAGCTTTCCCATGGAATTCCTTCAAATTCTAAGCCCAGCTAGGTGGTGAGGTTGGGAGAATTGGGATGTTTTCTGTCTCTTCCAACCTCTTCCTTCACTTCCCTCCCATCCTGTTAAAAGTCCAGGGATGAAGCTTCAGAACTTAATAAAGAATAGCTTCATTCATTGTTTAATCTGTGGGTTGACCTGTGTGAGCCATGGTATCAGGCAGACTTGTGGGAGCTGAGCTTCAAAGTTCAGCCACAGAGAGGTTTCTGGGCTTACCCTCATAGCCTGGTTACTTTGAACAGACAGACATAGATGAATGGACTATAACCGTGCTCTGAAAGTTACTGTAAGCCTGAAATAAACTGTATTTTTCTTTAAAAAACAAAACAAAGAGTATCCATTGTCCTCCCCCCACCCCTGTTCCCCTGTCCTGCCCAGTGGCCCTGCCATGGGTCTGGACGTTAAAATCCTGGGTAGCCTTGGGGCCAGGAAGCTATAAGCTGTGGAAGAGGCAGGAGGGGGTTTAGTCACCATCCCACGTGGAGTCAAAAACGTGAAGACACTGGCTGAAGAGGTGGGAGTGGGTTGGGCCCCGGGGTTTGTGGCAGAGCTGGCACTTGAACTCATGTTTCCTGCCTCTGGTGCTTTTGTTTGGGGGAGGGGATTGGGTGGAGGCAAGATTTTCGGGGTGTTTGGGATGGGGTGTAAATAATTGAATTCAGGTGGGTCTAGCAATAGCTCCCAACCTCCCTGGGGACAGGGATTTTTTTTTAAAAATAATTAATATCACTGTAGGAATATTTGTGTTTAAAAGCCCACATTTTGTGAAAAGATGAATTTAAAAAAAAACCCAAAACCCAGCATTCGGGATTGAAAGTGCCCGTAATGGGAGTTCAAGTATTGACTGAGCTGGGAGGGGAGGGGGCTGGAGTCCCCAGTTGGACATGGGCAGCTAGAGTGTGGGGTGGGGGCTCCCAATTCCCCCCTAAACCCTCTAGGTCTTGTCTCGGGTCTGGGGGGCTTCAGGGGACTCAGAAGTGGCTCCTGATGCTGCCACTGGTGCCTCCATCTCCCTGTCCTCAGACAGTGTGGGCCCGGGGCAGAACGTATCCCCACGGCCTGCCCGGCCCAGCACAGCCATCCAGCGCCGCTGAAGCTCCTCTGTCTCGGGACTGAAGTACCAGCTTAGGTGGCTCTGGGTTATCTTGAAGACATGCCTTCTGTCAGGCCGCTCCCCTGCCTCAGGAGGCCCCACCTCGAAGCCAATGAGGGGCAGGCTGCGCTGGGCTTTCACATCCTGCGGAGGAAGGACAGAGCTGGGGTCACCTGGGGGCTCTACTGGCTTGGTATCTACTCCTTTCTTCCCTTGCTCAAGAACCTGCCTTGGCTTCATTGTAATCAACAGGAAAAGGAACTAGGACTTGGTTTAAACACATGTCTCCTCCCACACCCCAAACCAGCTGGACTAGTCTCTTTAAGTAGAATGGTCTTTGACTTCCTCACCCCATCTGCATGCTCATCCTTACTCTGAATTAGACCTAGGAGTGCTAATGCCTGTTCCACTCCAGTTTTCTCCAAGCCAGACTCCCCATCCCACCTATTTGCCTTCCATGTTTTGCCTTGTCACTAGCTAGACTTTATGACCCACCCAAGGCTGGGTATTCTAGCTTTCCCTTAGAGATGGGCTCATCCCATTTGCCAAGGCCAAGGAAGAAGAGAAATCGGGGAAAAAGGGTAGCAGTGTGGCTTCACTAGGTATCCTAAAAGACTCAGAAGGAGGAGGATGCACACCTGAGGGGCTCCATAGATGTACAGCACCAAAGGTTCATTCTCAGGGACCACGAACCATGCCTTGTGCCATCCTTTCCCGCCCTTTTCCATGTAGTGCAGGAAGCTGCAGATGACGCTGTTCTCAGCAGCTACTGAGGCCTGTTTCTGGATCCAAGAAACATGGATAAAGTCATTGGTAACAGATGGCCTAGCCTGACTCCATTCTAGTTTAAGTAGCTTCTCCCCTCCCCTAGTACATGGCTTGCTATTCCATGTCTCAGATGCAGACTGTGATGCTCAGGTGATAGAAGTTTTGACTATTGCCTCCTAGTGAGTCCAGATTCAAAGCTAGACTTCTCTGCTTGACCCAGGCCATGACTGTTGTATGTAAGAGCCAGAGAGGGAACCTGGGCTCATGCCTGTAATCCTAGCTAATCAGGAGGCTAAGTCCACACACACACCACACACACACACACACACACACACACACACACACACACACACACACACACACACACACACACACACACACACACACACACACACACACACACGGCCGAAAGTTCATGAGACTCATCTCCAATTAACCACTAGAAAACCAGAAGTGGCACTGTGGCTCAAATGCTAGAGCACTAGCCTTGAGAGATGAAATGCTCAGGGACAGTGCCCATACTTAGAGTTCAAGCCCCATGACCATTAAAAAAAGGCCAGAAGTGGAGATGTAACTCAAGTGGTAAAGTACCAGCCTTGAGTGGAAAAGGCTAAGGGACAGTGACCAGGTAATGAGTTCAAGTTCCAGAATTGGCATACATATGCACACATGCACATGTACACACTAACAGAGAAAGGTGTGCACACACCAGCAAGGGCATCTAAAGGCCAGTTAGATAACTGGTTAATTTATTCAAGCTGTTCACACTTTCAACACCTCACCTCTTTACATCTTTCATCATACATCCATCACTCAGCAAGGGGCAATCTAGCACTGTGGTTAAGGGGGTGGATGGTAGGTGGTAGGTAGGTAATGCAAGCTGGCTCACACTCCGAGCTCTAGATGAAAATATATTGACTTGGAAGGAGAACACAGAGGGCTGTTGTGAGGATTAAATGAGCTAACACAAGCAATGCATTTAGTATAGTTATTGGCAGAGTAAGCTATTTTTTTTGTGGGTCATGGGTCTTGAACTTTGGGCCTGGGCACTGTCCCTGAACTCTTCAGCACAAGACTAGTGCTCTACTAGTGGCTTGAGCCACAGTGCCACTTCCCATTTTCTAGCGCTTAACTGGAGATAAGAGTCTCAAGGATGTTCCTTCCCAGGGCTGGCTTTGACCCATGATCCTTCAGATCTCAGCCTCCTGAGTAGCTAGGATTACAGGTGTGAGCCATCAGTGTCAGTGCCTGGTGAGTAAGCCCTTTAAGTGTTAAATGGCTTGATATGCTTAAAAAAACCCAAAATAAATTCTTCTGGGAAGAATTTATTCTACTGATCCTAGTTTGTAATAAAGGGCAATTTGTTGATTGAACAAAAAAAATCCTTGAGCTGTGTCTATAAATCTCAGCTACTCAGGAGGCTGGAGGCAGAATAACTGAGGTCAGCCTAAGGAATATAGTGAAATCTCATTTCAAAAAACAAAACCAGGAGCTGGGCATGTGGCTTAGCGGTAGAGTGCTTACCTAGCATGCATGAAGCCCTGGGTTCGATTCTTTAGTACCACATAAACAGAAAGAAAAACCCCGTCAGAAGTGGCACTGTGGCTCAAGTGGTAGAGTGCTAGCCTTGAGCAAAAGACGCCCAGAAATGGTGCCCAGGCCCTGAGTTCAAGCCCCAGGACTGGCCTAAAACAAAACAAAAACAAAACACCTGGGCACTGGTGGCTCATGCCTGTAATCCCAGCTACTCAGGAAACTTGGATCTGATGATCACAGTTTAGAGCCAGCCCTGGCAGGAAAGTCTGTGGGACCCTTACCTCTAGTCACCAAAAAAGCCAAAAGTAGAGGTATGGCTCAAGTGGTAGAGCACCAACCTTAAGTTAAAAAGCTAAGGAAGTGTCCACGCCCTGAATTCAAGCCCCAGTAACTGACAAAATAAAAACCACTTATTGACTGTGTCACTTGGTCAAATAACCTCCACATGCCTTAATTTCTCCATTGTAAACTAGGGATATGAGCATAGGTAGATTACTTACTATAAGGGTTAAAAGTGTAAAGTATTTTCATGAAATGACTCTTGGATTATTATTTTTTTTTTTTTGTCGTGGGGCCTGAACTCTGGGTCTGGGCGCTGTCCATCAGCTCTTCAGCTCAAGGCTAGCGCTCTACTGCTTGAGCCGCAGCAGCGCCACTTCTGGCTTTTTCTGCTTATGTGGTGCTGAGGAATCGAACCCAGGGCCTCATGCATGCAAGGCAAGTGCTCTACAACTGAGCCACCTTCCTAGACCCTTTACTCCCTTTTTTTTTTTTTTTTGACAGTCTTGGGGCCTGAACTCTGGGCCTGGGTCCTGTCCTTGGGCTTTTGTGCTCAAGGCTAGAGATCTACCACTTGAGCCACAGCTCCACTTCTGGCCTTTTGTAATTAATTGGAGATAAGAGTCTCACAGACTTTTCTGCCTGGGCTGGCTGTGAACTGCAATTATCAGATGTCAGCCTCCTGAGTAGCTAGGATTACAGGTGTGAGCCACCAGCACCTGGCTGTATATACTCTTGTACTGGTTTTGCTCGGTCCATGCCTGGGTTACTTGATCAGCCAGTGCACATGGCACCCTACATTTCAGAGAGTCCAGATCTCCTCAGATCACATTGGATAGGGGCTTGGCTCTTACCTCCAGGATAGACCTCCTGCGCTGGGGTGTATGTTGGTTGCAGGCTGGACTGCTCCCGGGCACCCCATGCAAGGCCACATAGCAATCAGTGCACACACGATTGGAGCGGTTATTGTCATAGATGAGGCGGGCCCGGAACTCAGAGCACTTCCCACAAACCACCTGGGGTGGCAAGTGGAAAAGAACAGTTGGATTCTGGCCGGCCTTTCCCTTTAGTGTAGCAAGTACCACGGCAGATTTGCACCTATTCCTCCCCCCTTGGAGGGTATCCATTTCAGAAATGGGTTTTTGGGTTGCCCCTGCCTCCCAATACTCACATGCCCACAAGCCTTGCAGTGGTGCCTGCGTTTGGTGATGGAGTTGAAAGGCTCCTGGCAGCGCATGCACATGGTGACTTCCTTTTCCCGGATGGGCGTGGGTGCTCTCTTCCCAAGGTCCACATTCTAGGGAAAGGCCAGGATCCAGGTCAAAGACAGCTGTTCTGCTCAGTTCAACCAACCCTTGTTCATTTCCCAAGACTTGGATCATTAAGGAGGATGGGGGCAGGAGACACATGGAGAATACCTGCCCTTTTCTTTTTTTGTGTTTGCTTGAACTCAGGGCCTGGGCACTATCCTTGAGCCTCTTTTGCTCAAGACTCTACAACTTGAGCCACAGCTTTCACTTCCAGCTTTCTTGGGGGGGTGGGGGGAGGTAAGAGATAAGAGTCTCATGGACTTTTCTTGCCTGGGATGGCTTCAAACTGTGATTCTTGGATCTCAGCCTCCTAAGTAGCAAGGATTACCTGTAGCTTTGAGCCAGGACTGGTTCCTACCTCATTGTGCCATCCAAGGTAGGTCACTTTACTCTCTGGGCCTGTTCCCCCCATGATTTCTCTGCAGCCCTATGAACAAAAAACTGCTCCTCCGAGGTCATGCATTGTCTGTCTAGTCTCTACTTCCTAGGAATGAGAGGATCATGCCAAGGAAAGGTGGGAATTTGGAGGCTGGAAAGGGATTCCCAGTGCTGAGGGAGATAGAGGTGAGGTGTCAGGGCATGGAGGGAGGACGACTCTTACTGGTGAGTTGGGTGGGGTATCTTCATCTTCCCTGTTTGTTGAGTTCAACAGTTTGAAGGTCTCCAGGGTCTGCTCATGCTTTAAGAGGGTGGAGTTGATGGCCTATCAGGGAGGGGTAAGAAATGAGAGGTCAGATCACTCCACAAGCCACCTATCTTCACCCTCAGCTCACCTTCCTATGCCTTAGTCTGGAGTAAGGAAAATTTACGTTCTAGGCTCAGCTGTGTCCATGTCAGACATATAATCTTGAGCAAACCCCTCCCATATTCCAGGTAATTAGAAAAATGAGGGTGGAAAGCCAGGGGATAGAGTTGGGGGAAGAGCTGTTACTGGAAAAACCTTAGCTGGCCTTCCTAGCCTCTGCCTGAGCTTAAGGCTTCACAGGTTTTGACCCACTCTGAGAAACCAACATCCTGAATTTGTGAATTTCTGTTTTGCCACTGGACTTCAGTTTGCTTAGCTATAAAATGGGGATGGCAAAGTCTGTTGGAAGGGAGGTATGTAGGCCCATTCTGTTAGATAGGAGTTTTGGGGGGAAGAGTCTATGTCCCCTAAGAGACCTGTTAATACTCTTTCAGCCCCCTCCCACCAAGCCTTCTTGGATGTTACCTGGACCCAATCTTTCTTCTCCTCCTCAGTCCTTGTGGGGAAGAAAGAAAAATGCTGAGTTAGGCAGGTCAATAAAAAAATTAAATTAAATTTAAAAAAACCTGGAAGCCGGGCACTATTGGCTCACACCTATAATCCTAGCTACTAAGGAAGCTGAGATCTGAAGATCAGAGTTTGAAGCCAGCCTAAGCAGAACAGTCTGGGAGACTTATCTATAATTAACCACCGAAATGTCAGAAGTAGAACTGTAGGTAGGGCAGAAGTCTTGAGCTTAAAAGCTAAGGGACAAACTGGGCACCGATGGCTCACACCTGTAATCCTAGCTACTCAGGAGGCTGAGATACTAGGATGACAATTTGAAGCCAGTCCAGGCAGGAAAGTCCATAAGACCCTTATCTCCAATGCAGCATCAAAATAAAAGCTGGAAATAGAGCTATGGTTCAAGTGGTAGAGCACTACTTTTGAGCCAAAAAAAAACTCAAGGACAGTCCCTAGGCCCTGAATTCAAGCCACAGGACTGGTGCATGTGTGTATGCGCGCACGTGTGTGCGCGCACGCGCACGCACACACACACACACACACACGCACTGGCAATGACTATTACTTTCTGGATCATTCTGAGCATCACTGAGAACGTGTAAAGCCCAGCCCAGCAGAATGTGTTATATTAATCACTGTGACTCCCTCCACTCTGTGTCTCTTTTTTTGTGCCAGTACTGGGACTTGACCTCAGGGCCTTGTTCTTTTCTCTTAGCTTTTTCCCTCACAGACCTTCCCTTCTGGTTTTCTTGCCTCCCTAAGGCCTGTGCCTCAGTGAGTCCTCCTCAACCACTCACTCTGCTGCCTCACATCTTCTAATTTCCTTCCACATTCATACTCTAGGCATCTAAAGTACTTTTTCTAGTTGAGTGTGATGTAATCCCAGCTACTGTGGAGGCAGAGATACGAGGAGGCAAGCTTGAATGAAATTATTGAGACCCACCCCTTCTTCCCTCCTTCCTTCCCTCCTTCCTTCCTTCCTTCTTTCCTTCCTTTCTTCTTTCTTTCTTTTTCTGTCCGTCATGGGGCATGAACTCTGGATCTGGGTACTGTCCCTCAGCTATTCAGCTCAACGCAAACACTCTACCACTTGAGCCAGAGCACCACTTCCGGCTTTTTCTGTTTATGTGGTGCTGAGGAATCGAACCCAGGGCCTCATGCATGCAAGGCAAGCACTCTATCATTGAGCCACCTTCCCAGCCCATTGAGACCCTATATTAAAAGCAAACAGACTATTAAGTGGAATAGCTCTTGTCTAAAAAGTTCAAAGCATAGGGTTCATCATGTGTGTTCATTATGGGGCTTGAACGTAGGGCCTATGTGCTATCCTTAAGCTTTTGTGCTCCAGGCTACTGCTCTACTTCTTGAGCCACAACTCCACTTCTGGCTTTTGGTGGTTAACTGGAGATAAGAGTTTCATGTATTATACAGGGTGGCTTCAAACTGCAATCCTTAGATCTTAGCATCCTGAGTAGTTAGAATTACAGGTGTGAGCTGCTGGTGCCTGGCAAAAATGGTATTTTTCTAATATGAAAACCTGATTATAACCTTAAAACCACTTCATGGAAAAGTAAAGCTGTTGCTCAGAATTTAGCTTTAGGAATATTTGTTGCCAGCTGGGCACCGGTGGCTCACGCCTGTAACCCTAGCTACTCAGGAGGCTGAGATCTGAGGATCACTATTTCAAAGCCAGCCTGGGCAGGAAACTCCATGAGACTCTTATCTCCAATTAACCACCAGAAAACTGGAAGTGGCACTGTGGCTCAAGTGGTAGAGCATTCTTCTTGAACTGAAAAGCCCAGGGACAGCACCCAGAGTTCAAGCCCCACGACCGACACACACACACACACACACACACACACACACACACACACACACACACACACACACACACACACACACACACACACACACACACACACACACAATGTTTTTGTGGGCGAATGATATAGCTCAGTGGTAGAACACTTACCTAGTGTGTTTGAGGCTCTAGGTCCAAATCCTATATGTATGCTCATGTGTGCAAACATACACACACAGAGAAAAGAATATTTACTATAATGCCTTTGTTGGTGATACTGGGGTTTGAACTCACAGCCTCACATTTCTAGGCAGGTGCCCCAACATTGGAGCCTCTTGTCAGACCCCTTTTGCATTATTTTTGAGACAGGATCTCCTTTTGCTTGGGATGGCCTATACAGTGATCTCCCTATGTGTACCCCTTAGCATTTCTAGTATGACAGATGTGTGCCACTGCACCTAATCAATGGTTGAGATGGAGTCTCAAACATTTTTTTTTTTGGGTCCGGTCGTGGGGCCTGAACTCTGGGTCTGGGCGCTGTCCCTCAGCTCTTCAGCTCAAGGCTAGCGCTCTACCACTCAAGCCACAGCGCCACTTCTGGCTTTTTTCTTTTTGCTTATGTGGTGCTGAGGAATCGAACCCAGGGCCTCCGGCTTGCAAGGCAAGCACTCTACCACTGAGCCACCTTCCCAGCCCAGTCTCAAACATTTTTGTGTGTGTTTGTCTGGCAAGGTCAAGACTCAAACTGGGACTTCCCTATCTCTACCTCCCAAGTGGCTAGAATTACAGGCTTGAACAACCACACCTGGCACAGTGTTTTTTATTATAGTAAAAAATTGGAAGCAGAGCTGAGAGGGAGGTGAAAAAAATATGTCATTACTACAAGACAATTTTAATGATGTAGAATGTTTATTATAAGAAGCAAAAAGAACATTTAAAGGCAGGGCAACTGTTGCTCACACCTGTAATCCTAGCTATTCAGAAGGCTGAGATTTGAGAGTCATGGTTCAATGTCAGCTGGGGCAGGAAAGTCTTTGAGACATTTATCTCCAATAAACAACTCAGAAAAATCCCAAAGTGGCGCTGTGGCTCAAACTGTATGTGGTACTGAGAAATCGAACCTGAGCTTCATGCATGCTAGGCAATCACTCTACCACTAAGCCACCTTCCCAGCCCCTTGAAATTATTATTATTATTATTTTTTTTGGTCGGCCGTGGGGCTTGAACTCTGGGCCTGGGCGCTGTCCCTCAGCTCTTCAGCTCAAGGCGAGCGCTCTACCACTTGAGCTACAGCGCCACTTCCGGTTTTCTGGTGGTTTATTGGAGATAGGAGTCTCACAGTCTCTCCTGCCCGGGCTGGCTTTGAACCGCAATCCTCAGATCTCAGCCTCCTGAGTAGCTAGGATTACAGGCGTGAGCCACCAGCACCCGGCCCTTGAAATTATTTTAAGAAGAGTGGAGCCGGGGGCTGGGAAGGTGGCTCAGTGGTAGAGCGCTTGCCTTGCATGTCTGAGGCCCTGGGTTCGATTCCTCAGCACCACATAAACAAAAAGAAAAAAAAAAGCCAGAAGTGGCGCTGTGGCTCAAGTGGTAGCTTGCTAGCCTTGAGCTGACCAAAAAAAAAAAAGAAGAGTGGAGCCGGGCGCTGGTGACTATGCTTATAATCTTAGCTACTCAGGAGGCTGAGATCTGAGAATCAAAGTTCAAAGGTAGCAGGGGCAGGAAAGTCAGTGAGATTCTTATCTCCAATTAACCATGAGAAAACTGGAAGTGGCGCTGTGGCTCAAGTGGTAGAGCACTGCCTTGAGCTGAAGAGCTGAGGGCCAGGACCCAGGCCCAGGCCCAGGTTCGAGCCCCATGACCACAAAAAAAAGAAGGGAGGGGCTAGGAAGGTAGCTCAGTGGTACAGTGCTTGCCTTGTATGCATGAGGCCCTGGGTTGATTTCTCAGCACCACATAAGCAGAAAAAGCCGGAAGTGGCACTGTGGCACTGTGGCTCAAGTGGTAGAGTGCTAGCCTTGAGCTGAAGAGCCTAGGGAGAGTGCCCAGGCCCAGAGTTCAGGCCCCATGACCCACAAAAGGGAGAGTGGGGCTGAGAATGTGGCTTAGTGGTAGAGTGCTTGCCCGGCATGCATGAAGCCCTAGGTTCAATTCCTCAGTACCACATACATAGAAAAATCCATAAGTGGTACTGTGGCTCAAGTGGTAGATTGCTAGCCTTAAGCAAAAGAAGCTCAGGGCGGGCTGGATAGGTGGCTCAGTGGTAGAGCGCTTGCCTTGCATGCCTGAGGCCCTGGGTTCGATTCCTCAGCACCACATAAGCAAAAAGAAAAAAGCCAGAAGTGGCGCTGTGGCTCAAGTGGTAGAGTGCTAGCCTTGAGCTGAAGAGCTGAGGGACAGCGCCCAGGCTCAGGCCCCAGGACCGGACCCCCCCCCCCCCCAAAAAAAAAAAAGCAGCTCAGGGACAATGGCTAGGCCCTGAATTCAAGCCCCAGGACTGGCAAAACAAAACAAAAACAATTTCAACAGGTTACACTACTCTATTTTCACACAGGCAAATAAAGTATTTTGACCATATGCACCCTCTTCATTAGCCATTTCCCCTCCTGTTATTATCCATTCTCTCTGTAGATCCTGTTTTACTTGTTACTTATTTTTCCTACTATGTATTAATTGTACCAAGGGGTTTCACCATGGCATTTTAGACATGCATATACTTTGATCAGAATAACTCTCTCCATTGCTTTCCCTTTCCCTGCCCTGCAACCCCACTGATCCACAGCTTTTCAGCTTTTCATTGAGATCTAGGTGGTCTGCGTTCACAACTGCAATGTATTTCAGAATTATTCACCCTCCATCTTTCTTTTTTTTTTGTCAGTCTCATGTGGGCTGGGGGCCAATGGCTCATGCCCATAATCCTAGCTACTTGGGAGACTGAGATATGAGGATCATGGTTTGAAGCCAGCCTGGGCAGGAAAGTCCATGAGACTCTTATCTCCAATTAACCACCAGAAAACTGTAAGTGGTACTCTGGCTAAAAGTGAGAGAGTGCTAGCCTTGAGCAAAAGAGTTCAGGACAATGCCTAGGCCCTGAGTTCAAGCCTTACAACTGACAAAAAAAAGTCTTGGGGCTGGAAAGGTGGCTCAGTGGTAGAGCGCTTGCCTTGCATGTATGAGGCCCTGGGTTCGATTCCTCAGCACCACATAAGCAAAAAGAAAAAATGCTGGAAGTGGCGCTGTGGCTCAAGTGGTAGAGCACTAGCCTTGAGCTGAAGAGCTGAGGGACAGTGCCCATGCCCAGAGTTCAGGCCACACAACCAGACCCCCATCCCCTCCCCCACAAAAAAAAGTCTCACAGGACTTGGACTTTCCTGCCTGGATGGCTCTGAACCTCAATTCTCAGATCTCAGATTCCTGAGTAGTTAGGATTACAGGCATGAGCCACCAGTGCCCGGCTAACCAATATTTTATATGTGTATTTTCTGTGCCCATACTGGAGCTTGAACTCAGGACCTTGCAATTGAATGGCTTTTTTACTCGCGGCTGTCATTCTGCCACTTAAGCTACACCTCTGCTTGCAGTAATTTACTTTAAAGATTGTTCAGCAAAGGACATATATGGCAGGCTACATGTGATGTCATATGCCTGTAGTCCCAGTTTCTTGGGAGGCTGAAACAAGAAGCTCAGGCATTCAAGGCCAGCCTAGGAATCCCAACAAAAATGTAAAACTGAAAAGAAATCTGATAGAATGCTTGTAGCTGACAGTTTCTTTTGCATGATGCTGGGAGCAAAACCCAGGGCCTTGTGCATGTTAGGTAAATGCTCTATCACTGAGCTATACCTCCCACACACCCAGATGCAACTATTGACTTTTAAATAATTGGCTCTAAACCCTGGTTCACACATTAAAATTACCTGAGGATGGGGCTGGGAAGGTGGCTTAGTGGTAGAGCGCTTGCCTTCCATACATGAGGCCCTGGGTTCGATTCCTCAGCACCACATAAGCAAAAAGAAAAAATGCTGGAAGTGGCGCTGTGGCTCAAGTGGTAGAGTGCTAGCCTTGAGCTGAAGAGCTGAGGGACAGCGCGTGGGCCCAGAGTTCAGGCCCCACGACCAGACCCCTCCCCCCCAAAAAAACTACCTGAGGAGCTTTAAAAGCTCTCCACATTGAGGCTGTATCCTAGACCATTTAAATCAGAATCTTTGGGGATAGGATTGGGGGCATCAGTTATTTTTAGAAGTTCTGAGATGATTTCTGGGGTTGCATGATTGAGAACTGGTTGTCTAAGTTGTGGGAATATGGGTGCTTATTGCATCACTTTGCTGGGTATTTAAAATTTTCCATTAAAAACTATTTTGGGGGGAACCAGTCCTGAGGCTTGAACTCATGGCTTTGTTGCTGTCCTTGAACTTTTCTGCTCTACCACTTGAGCCATAATTCTATTTGTAGCTTTTAGGTGGTTAATTGGAGATAAAGAATCTCACAGACTTTCTTGCTGGAGCTGGCTTCAAACTGTGATCCTCAGATCTCAGCCTGCTTGAATAGTTAGGATTATAGGTATAAGCCATAGTGCCTGGCTTAAAAACAATTCTTTTTTTTTTTTTTTGCAGCCAGCCCAAAAGTTAATTAAGTTTATTAAAATCACATAGAAGGTTTAACAAAGTGCACAACAGAATGACACCACTGGTTTGTTATAAATCACAGTGAATTAGTAGAATCCAACAATGTGATTTCTTTAAGAGGATTGTAGGACAGGGTTAATATTATAAAGGACAGGATCCCTTTTCAATAGGTGAAGCCAGTCAGCCTGTAATCCCCAGCTATTTGCCTCCAAACACTGCTTGAGAAAGCTGAGCCTTTTCCTCACATGTTCTTCTCTGACAATTACTAAGCAACTTAAAACACAATTCTTAAAGGCAGTAAAAGTGATTGCAAAGCAAAACTCTTTGTTCCTTCCTTGGGCCACTAGGCAGAAACCTTATACTTCTTGGTGACCCAGCATCCCTCTATCATCCCCTCTTGTGCAGACAATGTGCTTTTTTTGCCAGTCCTGAGGCTTTAGGCTTGAACACTGGGCCTCTTTGTGCTCAAGGCTAGTGCTCTACCTCCTGAGCCACAGTGCCATTTCTGATTTTCTGATGGTTACTTAGAAGAGTCTCATGGACTTTCCTGCCCAAGGTGGCTGTGAACCGGGATCCTCAGATTTCAGCCTCCTGAGTAGTTAGGATTACAGGTGTGAGCCTGTAATCCTTGCTATATTTTTCATGTCTTTACTCACCAGTCATTTTTTACTTCAGTTTTTTTTTCAGTACTGAGGTTTGAACTTAGGGATATCGCTTGTTTTTTTTTCACTCAAGGATGGCACTGTACTACTTGAGCCACACCTCAACTCCAGCTTTTTGATGGCTAAATGGAGAGTCTCATGGACTTTCTGGCCCAGGCTGCCTTTGAACTGTGATCCTCAAATCTCAGGCTCCTGAGCAGTTAGGATTATAGTTGTGAGCCACTGGTGCCTGGCCAGCAAATGTTTTAGGGTTGTTTGTCCCACACCAGGATCCTACCATGGACCAAGCATTGCATTTGGTTATTTTTGGTTATTTTAGATATTTCTCTTAAGTCAGTGAATCTACAATATACTGGTTTCGATGTTGTTATTCATGATAGGATTACCATACTACCGTCCTCTAACATAGCCCACCAGAAGAAATGTTCATTTCAATCAGAGAGAGCTTATTCAATCTACTAAAGGCTCCCCTGGCAGGAATGCTGCATCTTCTTCATGCTTGGAGTACTCACCCTAAATCCATATGGTGGCTAGCCCTCAGAGATCAACCCCATTGCTGAAGAACATGCCTGCATCTTGGGGGAAAGGTGTCTGGAATGCTTCAGCATATCTGAAGGAAAGAGGGGTTCGGAGGGAAGTCATAGGCAAGGATAGGTACCTGGCCTGGAGCTCCAGGGAGCGCTGCTTTCCTGATACCAGGAAGGTCCGAGGAAGGTTGAAGTTGGAGCTTTCCTTTAGCTGGATAGATGGAAAAAGGGTTATGGTGAGGCTTACTGAGCTCCCCACGGCCCTAGCATTCTGCAGCATGCACTCTGGGTTCTCATTTCCCACCTCCTGGTGCTTACCTCCATGCCATCTACATCGATGCGTGCCCGCACGCTAAACTTCTGGCCAAGCAGCCGCAGCCTGGGCACGCAGTAAAGGAGGCGGTCGTTGAACTAGAAAGGAAAAGATTGATATGTATGTATATGTGTGTGTGAGTATATGTATATGTATATATATATATATATATGATGACCTTGGGCAAGTTCCTTCTCTCTAAATCTGAGTTACATCATCTGTGAAGAAGAGGAAAGAAAGCCAGCCATTGGTGGCTCATGCCTGTAACTCTAGCTACTCAGGAGGCTGAAATTTGAGGGTCATGGTTTGAAATTAGTCTGGGAAGGAAAGTTTGTGACACTCATCTCCAATTAACCACCAGAAATCCAGAAGTGGAGCTGTGGCTCAGAGTGGTAGAGTGCTACCCTTGCGCAAAAAATTCAGGGACAGTGCTCAGGCCCTGAGTTCAAGGCCTATGACTGACAAAATAAAAAAAGAAAAAAGAAAAAGAAGAGGAAAGAAAAGCCAGGTCCTGGTGGCTCACAACTGTAATCCTAGATACTCGGAGGACTGAGATCTGAGGATAGTGGTTTAAAACCAGCCCTGGGCTGGGAATGTGGCTTGTGGTAGAGTGCTTGCCGAGCATGCATAAAGCCCTGGGTTCAATTCCTCAGTACCATATAAACAGAAAAGGCTAGAAGTGGCACTGTGGCTCAATGGTATATGCTAGCCTTGAGCAAAAGAAGCTCAGGGACAGTGCCCAGACCCTGAGTGAACAGCTGACACTAAGCAAAAGGAAATAAATGTACCTATCACCCAATTTAGTAGAAATAGTTCTATTGTTAAAGTTCGTAGAGTTGTGCTCGCTTCGGCAGCACATATACTAAAACTGGAATGATACAGAGAAGATGAGCATGGCCCCTGTGCAAGGATGACACGCACATTCATGAAGCGTTCCACATTTTTAACAAAGGAGGAGGCAACAATGCTTGATAAGAAATGTACTCATTATTTTGCCCATGTAACTATAACCCCTCTGTACGGTATGTTCACAATTAAAAATTAAAAAGAAAAAAAGTTCATAAAGTTCATAAGCATTATCTTAAGATAATGAGGATTATAATAGTGAAGGTTAAAAGGTGTTTGTGACTTTAGCTAAGTATAACTATGCCACAGTACTATGAAATTTATCTAATCATTTAATCTCAATAAAGAAATATTTGGAGGAATAAAAAAAAAACAGCCCTGGCAGAAAAGTCCATGAGATTCATCTCCAATCAACCAGCAAAAAGCCAGAAGTAGAAGTATGATTCAAAGGTAGATTGCCAGCCTTCAACAAAAACAAAAACAAGCAAAAGCACAAGGCCCCTAGTCTAGGCCCCAGTAAAGGCACCAAAAAAAAAAAAAAAAAAAAAAAAGAAAACAAATCCCAACATAAGTGTTTTGGTGAAAACACAATGAATGACTGCAATAAACTGGAGATGGCAGAGCCAAGCATCAGTGGCTCATGTCTGTAATTCTAGCTATTCAGGAGGCCCAGATCTGAGGATCATGGTTTGAAGCCAGCCCAAGCAGAAAAATCCATGAGATTCTTATCTCCAACTAACCAGCAGAAAGCTTGAGGTGAAGCTATGGCTCAAGTGTCAGAGTGCCAGCTTTGAGCTAAGGGATAGCATCCAAGCCCTGAATTCAAGCTTGTGTATTGGCACAAAAAAACAGAGCTGGGATTTGAGGATTTAGCTCAGTGGAAGAGCAAGTACAAGGCCCCAAGTTCAGTCCTCAGCTCTAGAAAAAAACATCAACAATAGAGATAGGAGGTGGCACAGCCTTGAGTGAGTACCAGGTTCATCTGTATAGAGGAAGAAAGGGAATATCCACTCCCACCACCAACTCCACAGCTGTCACTTACTAGTATGAGGTATCGGTCTTGAGTGGTCCCATTCTTTGCTGAGAGCTTCAGGATGTGGCCTTCTTTTATGAGCTCTTTGGTTGGGCTGACAATGTCCTCCTCACCTCCTAGCAGCTCATATACCTTCAGCAGCTTATGCATTCGCTCCTGGAAGAAGACAGCAGGGCTTGGGGTGTCAATTGCCCCCTGGATATCTTCAAGGCATAAGCCCGTCCCCAATCCCAGGACAGAGATACCAAAGACACGTGGCCAAGGATGGGCAAGTGCTAGGAGAACCACTCACCATCTTGCGAATGGCAGCATTAGAGTGCTCTGCCGCTGTGGCTATCAGCTCCAGAGACTCTATGGGGAACAAAGAGGCAAGATCAGATGGGAGATTAGCAGAGAGGAAGCTCTGGGGGCTTCTTTCCCCCATGGATAGCATCTCCTGTCCTGTCCACAATCTCCTCATACCAGAATGTTCAGCCTAAAGGCGTCCACAGCACTGGGCATGATGGCTCCAGCCTGTAATCCTAGCTACGTTGGAGGCAGAGTTTAGGAGATTGTGGTTTGAGGCTAGCCTAAGCCAAAAATAAAATCAAGAGACCCCATCTCAACTAATGGCTCAGAGCAGAGTTGCACTCCTAGCTACAAGGTAAGTACAATGGTTAGATGCAGTGCTACGTAGACAGCTTTGCTCTCTGGCAATAAGGAGAGGATAAGCCCAATTAGGAGGACTGCAGCCCAGGTCAGTCTGAGGAGTGAGACCCTAACTCAAAAATAACCAACACAAGAAGGGGCTGGAAGTGTGGATCAAGTGATTGAACATGTGCCTAGCAAGTATGAGGCCCTGAGTTCAATCCTCAGTATCACACACACACAAATAAATCCATAGCAACATCATGTGAAATCAGAAACAGTCTCAGCTGATGCCACAGTAGCAGAATCACAGTATATAGGTTAGCTGGCAGCCAACAAAATGGAAGCTTGGTAAATTACTATTACCATTAGTAGTAGCAACAATAACATTTGCATATGTAAATATGAGGAAACATCCATGTGCAGGAAGCTGTCTCTGGATGGTGGGACTATGTGTGGTTTTCATTGTCCTCTTTAGAGGGTTGGGTTTTTTTTGTATTTCTCATTTTTGGAACACAATGTAGCTATAGTGCTCTTGCTGATTTCAGACTCCTGAGCTCAAGGAATGTTTCTATCTCAGACTTGCATAGCTGGGTCTACAGGCTCACACTACAATATCTAGCTTTCTTCCACATTTTTTTCACTCATGGTCTTTGGAGAGCTTTTATTATTTTTTTTTTTCTTTGGTCGGTCATGGGACTTGAACTCTGGGCCTGGGCGCTGTCCCTCAGCTCTTCAGCTCAAGGTGAATGCTCTACCTCTTGAGCTACAGCGCCACTTCCAGTTTTCTAGTGGTTTATTGGAGATAAGAGTCTCAAGGTCTTTCCTGCCCGGGCTGGCTTTGACCTGTGATCCTCAGATCTCAGCCTCCTGAGTAGCTAGGATTACAGGCGTGAGCCCCCAGCGCCCAGGAGAGCTTTTATTATTAAGGTATGAGTATCCTCTTTCAAGTTAGTTTCACTACCAGTGATGTGCACATTCATCTGCATTAAGAGAAGTTTGGTTATTCCCACATTTTTTTGTGCCAGTCCTTGGGTTTGAACTCAGGGCCTGGACACTAGCACTTTACCACTTGAGCCACAACTCCATTTCTAGCTTTTTGGTGTAATTAATTAGAGATAAGAGTCTCATAGACTTTCCTGCTCCAACTGGCTTCAAATCTGAATCCTCAGATCTCAGCCTCTTAAGTTCCTAGGATCACAGGCATGAATCAATGACACCCAGCTCATACATATATATGTATATATACATGTGTGTATATATATGTACACACACATACACTATATATATATATATATATATATATATATATATATATGGAGAGAGAGAGAGAGAGAGAGAGCTTTTCTATCAGAAAACATCAGTCACATAAAGAAAATACAGATCTGGGGATGTAGCTCAGTAGTAGAGCACTTTCTTAGCATGCATGAGCCCCCTCAGTTCCATTTCCAGTGCCACAAAAAAGCAAACAAGAGAGAAAAATGATTCTTTGTTTCAATAATTCTGATTATAGGAACATATTCTTTGTACAAGTACCTTTTCACTGAAGTTTTGTTTAGAATATAGTCAAACTCCAAGCAAAAATATCAAATGGGAGGGGCTCAGTATGGTGTACTCATGTAATGGGATGTCAAACAAATTTTACAAATGATATTTATGTAGGATTTATAATAAGCTTAGAAATGTTCAGGGTAGGGGCTGGGAAGGTGGCTCAATGGTAGAGGCTTGCCTTGCATGCATGAAACCCTGAGTTTGATTCCTCAGCACCACATAAGCAGAAAAAAACTGGAAGTGGTGCTGTGGCTCATGTCGTAGAGTGCTAGCCTTGAGCAAAAGAAGCTCAGGAACAGTGCCCAGGCTCTGAGTTCAAGTCCCAGGACTGGCAAAAACAAAAAAAGAAACCTCCACCCCACGTAAGCTTCAATACCTCCCACTCTACATGCTGGGTCTCCCTACTTAGAACATGCACCTTGCCAGGCACCGGTGGCTCACACCTATAATCCTAGCTACTCAGGAGGGAGGCTGAGATCTGAGGAACTTGGTTCAAAGTCAGCATGGGCAAAAAAGAACCGTGAGACTCTTATCTGCAAAAACTGGAAATGGCACTGTGGCTGAAGTGGTATAGCTCTAGCCTTTAGCATAAAAAGGCTCAGGCACAGCGCCCAGCCCGAGTTCAAGCCCCCCCCCCCAAAAAAAAAAAGAACATGCACCTGGCACTGAATGGACATAGGTGGCATTTCTGAAGAGGGCTCATTTATATAACAAATGAAATTTTGTGTGTGTGTGTGTGTGTGTGTCTGCCAGTACAGACCTTGATCTCAGGGCTTCATACTGTCACTTAGCCTTTTCACTCAAGATTGGTGCTCTACTACTTGAGCCATCACTCCACTTCAGACATTTTGCTAGTTAATTGAAGATCTGTCTTTCAGATGTCTTCCCTGCCTGGATTCACATCATGATTTTCAGATCTCAGCCTCCTAAGTTGTCAGGCACGAGCAACTTCTGTCTGGTTCAAATCAAGTCTTGTTTTGCTAGGAATGTGCATCTCCATGATCAAGTTTGAGTCATAGACCAAGCAGATCTGTGTTCACTGGCCCAGCTGAGGCTTTCATATGTCTTTTTGGTGAAGAGCCTTTCTCCCACCCTCTTTAATCCTGGCCATCAGAAAAGCCTACATAACACACTGCTCCCTTTTGCTCTTCTGCTCAAACCTGTCAATGGCTCCTCTGTGCCTGCTGGGAAAGAAGCAGCCCTTTAGCTGCCATTTAAAGCGCTTGGTGACTGGCTTCTGCAGACCTCTGGCTTCTTCCACGTATGCCTCCCTCAACATGTCCCAACCTGCTCCACCAGGCCAACAGCCACTGAGTCTTACTGAAGTTCTTCACCTTCTGTAAGCCTGTCCTGAGTACTCAGGCTGGGTTAGGACCATCTGGGTTCCCACATTCCCCTCTGTTCACTTCCATCCCACTAGTCCTACTGGGACTGTCATTGTATCTGTATCCCTCAGTAAAGTAGGTGATCCTCACAAGTCCAACGCCCCTCTCCAAGCACAGGTGTTCTGCATAAATCAGCTCCTTCCATAGTCTCAACTCTGTAAGATAGGTATGATTGTGCCATATTTATCTAATGGCAAAACCAACATTCACAGAGAAGGTGGCTGCCTTAGGTGGTTTACCTGGGAGGTGAGGCATGTTTCCCTGCTGCATTTTTTCTCCTACATATTGTCCTTCCCACTCAAGGGAAAGGGACAGGATCAGTGACAGGGGTAGAGAGAGCTCAGGGAAGAGGACAGGAAGAAGACTGGCAAGCTTGGGCACACAAGCTCAGGACTGTGTAGATTGCTGGGCACAGGCTTGAAGGTTTTGGTTGCTTTGGGTAGCTGTGTGTGGAGATACACAATGTGGGAGGTAGATTGGCATTTCCAGGAGTCCAATGTGTAAGGTTCCATCTAAGGGTTCAATGTGGAAAGGAAGTCTAGGAGTTTACCTGGAGGTTTAGGCTAGAGAGTTTGGGGAATTTGCTATAAGGGTTTAGTCTGAATGCTTGACTGAGGCCTATTGTGGGTTTGGCAGGTTGAGCTCCTGGTTTTGGAGTTCAGTCTTGGGCTTAATGTAGGCATCTGAGGTCAGCAGTTTCAGCTCACCTAGTTTGGGGAGCTGAGCTACAGTCCAGACTCCAGAGTCCAGCCTGGGAGCCAGAAAGTGGGTGAGTCAGTCTGTGGAATCAGAGCTATGATTCAGTGGGGCTCATCCTGGGGATTTTAGTTGGAGGGGTAAAAAAAAGTGAGCTCACCGTAGGATCTCCTTCAGAGATTTAGTGAGAACCAGACAGGGAAATTCTTTCTGGGGGGTGGGGGTCGGGAGTGGGCTCATGAAGGGAGCTCAGTAGGCCAAGCTCAAGTTCTGAGGTTTGTTCTAGGGATTCAAATAGGGATAGGATTGGTATGAAACAATCTAAATTTGAAGAGCTAGCTGAGTGCCAGAGGCTCATACCTGTAATCCTACCTACTCAGGAGGCTGAGCTCTGAGGATTGTAGTTTGAAGGCAGCCTGGGTAGGGAAATCTGTGAAACTCTTATCTCCAATTAACTACCAAAAAAGCTGGAAGTGGAGTTGCAGCTCAATTGATAGAGGCCGAACCTTGAGCAAAAAGAAGCTCAGGGTGGGGCTGGGAAGGTGGCTCAGTGGTAGAGTGCTTGCCTTGCATGCATGAGGCCCTGGATTAGATTCCTCAGCACCACATAAGCAAAAAGAAAAAAGCCGGAAGTGGTGCTGTGGCTCAGGTGGTAGAGCGCCAGCCTTGAGCTGAAGAGCTGAGGGACAGCGCCCAGGCCCAGAGTTCAGGCCCCACGACTGGACCCCCTCCCCTCCCAAAAAAAAGAAGCTCAGGGACTGTGCCCAGGACTTGAATTAAAGCCTCAGGATCAGCATATAAGACAAAGCAAAAGCAAACAAAAGAAAAAAATTGAAAAGGTCAATCTGCAAATTGATTTTAATGGGGAATTCAGTATGGATGACATCAACAAAGGCATTTAATAATCAAAACACGTGGCCTGATGCTGGTGGTTCACTCCTGTAATCCTAGCTACTCAGGAGGCTGAGATTTGAAGATAGCGGTTTGAGGCCAGCTCAGGCAGGAAAGTCTGTAAGACTCTTATCTCCAATAAACTACTAAGAAAAAGTGGGAAGTGCTGCTGTGGCTCAAGTGGTAGAGTACTAGCCTTGA